CTGGAAGCAAGGCACAAAATGATTCAGTTTGATCATATCAAGGTGGTAGATATGTTCCAACTTGGATGTATTCTTCCAAATCTAGCAAAAATATGTGTTTGCAAATCTACCAATTACAATTTTTATCCGTTTTCCGAAAGTGAAAAGAATTTGTGTAAAAAACTTTGGGAAGACATGAACGGTGGTCGTTCGATTGTATTTACCCGAAAAGCTGTAGTTGATGAAACATTCATCAAAATTCATCATAACATGTAAATCGATCGTTAGAAGTGATGCAAGCCAGCTTTACCCTTTCTCAATAAGTCAAGATATGCCAACAATATTGTAAACGAGATTGGACTTTGATATAACCGATCTTTCAATTTTTAGAATATGGTCATGTCGTTCTTCCAGGAAACAAGACCAGAATGTTTAATTGAGAGCTTGTTCACATCTGGAAAACAGAAGAAAATCGACTGTTTTAAAGTGGAGGGTTATTGTGATCACTACTGTAAAACAGTATTCGAAGCATGTGATGTTACCTCCACTTCTGTTCTTCTCAAGAAGTTCGTCCCTCCTTAACAGATCAGGATGTTGAACGAGATAATAAAAGGGAGAAAGAGAGAGAAAGAGAGAGAGAGAGAGAGAAAAAGAGAGAGAGAGAGATAAAGAGAGAGAGAGAGAGAGAGAGAAAGAGATGGATGATAAGAGACTGGACTACATAAAAGAGAAAGGATACGAAGTTAAAGAAAACATCAAGATGAAAAATCATATCAGAACCCATTTTACCTACAAAAAACCTCTTTCTACAGACTCCCTTTTAGTAAAAACAAAAGATGGAACTTTTTGGCTGTGTTCAGTGTGATTTAAATGTTCTCTCTAGCCCCTCTCTTCAACTTTTGCATGGAACTTGGCTGGCATTGCACCAAAATTTACTGTTTGGTTCAGTACTCTCCTCAAAAATTTTTCAATTCTTTTGTACAGTAAGTGGCTAATTCTAGAGGAGAAGGAGATGAAAACCCTTTGTCAGGAGTTGTAGCAGAAACAATGAAACTTTCAGTCAATTCCTTATAGTGACATCAGATCATGGATATATTCAGGCATACAATCACAAAATATCTGAACGATGAAAAACTCACAAAGCAATCAATGAGTCACTGTTTAAAAAACTGAAATCATTTGAGAAAGATTTTTATGAGGTTGAAATGTAAAAATCAACCATTTAGCACAGAGAACCCATCATTGTTGGATTTTTCATACTTCAGTATGCAAAACTGAGAATGTTGGAGCTGTGTTACATTTTTTTGGACAAGTACTGTGATGTAAATAAATTTGAAGAGTTGGAGATGAACACAGACTCACTTTACTTAGCACTTGCTGAAGAAAATTTATATAACTGTATCCAACCAGATAAGAGGCTGCTTGGGAAAAATGAGGGAAAATGACTGCGGAGACTCATTCAAGGCAGATGCAAAATCTAATTTCTTCCCTCGAACATGTTGCAATACGCAAAAAAAGCATGATAAACGGGAGCCAAAACTTTTCAATTTAGATGTACATGAATGCTATGTTTGTTGTCATCGCGAAAATATGTCTTGCTACACAAGTCAGATATATTCAAATTCAGTAGAAAAGCAAACGAGTTTAGCAAACGAGTTCTAGAAGATTCTGGAAACGGACCTATGTCAAAGTACAGGAGAGTGTTCGATGAAGCAATCAAGCTAACATCTACAAATAGAGGATTCAGAACATAAAGTATAGGGTGGCTACATATGAGCAAACACAGAAAGGACTTAGTTATTTTTATCCTAAAAGACACGTTCAAGATGATGGAATTCATACAAAACCATTGAACTGATGAGCTGATGCAATTTAATAAACTTATGATGCCATGTATTTGACCTATAAACAATGCAGTATTTTGTTGTTTTTTTTTATCATAAAGTTGCGGTAAAATTAAAGTACGACACAGTGATTTAAATATTTTCTTTGTGTTTTAATTTTTTTTTTCAAAAATTTTGATTTTTTGTGAAGTTTCAGTAGGTTTCAGCATAGTTTCAGAAATAGAGCACTGTTTTTGAAAAATTGATCATCTAATAAAGTAGTTAATAGTTCAAACTATATCGAATCGTAACGTGTTTTGAAGGTTTCTATTAAAAAAATGTTCCCCAAGAACTCTCACCAATGACTTACCATGAACCAAAAAAACTAATTACAAGACCTTCATTCCACAACCCACACGTAATTAACCACTGATATTTACCGGGTTGATAACGCGCTCCAAAATGTTTGCAAATAAACTGGACATTTCCACACAAAATCCAAAAAGTATCGTTTTTCTTACCATTCTCGTACCATCACACAAACCGTGAAATCTTACAAATTTTTTCCCCATCTTAATACATTCTAGAATCTATACTGAATTTTATTATATAGCTTAGAGACTGGATTTTCTATTTCCTATCTTAAAACATGTGGGTCTCCCAGAACCACATACCCCCCCTCCCCCCCCCCACCTCTTAAACTCCAACATCTACTACCAACCTTTATTCTGCTGAAGCCATTTTACTGAGTTTTTTATCGTCTTTAAAAACTTCCCAAGTGACATGAAAATAATGTGATTTTTGACAAAGTTTCACAATTTGGTAGCTTTGGCTACCATTTTCATCTGATACTCGTAGCAAATCAGATTCGACCTCGAAAGTTTTAGCTCAAGATATAAGAAATGTTGGTTTTGGGTTTTTTTTGTGCATACGACCCACAATTGGTCCCCATTTTGGTCTTTTTGTGCTATTCAGGGTGCTGGTTGCACAGAATTTTCAGCGAATGGCGCCCAATTGTTGATCCCCTTTTCCAGTTGGTCCCCATGAGCCCAACTTTTAGCAAAAGAACCTGAATGATCACAAATTGGGCTCCTCTTTGGGGGACATTGGGTGCCCATTTTTTCCCTGATAACTAAGGAACCGATCGTACTAAGCCTCTTTTAATCGAAAATTTAAGGCAAAAGCTAGCTATTTCAACCTAATTTGTGTGAACTCACAAGGAGCCCCGAGACATTTGTTACCGTACCTTAAATATTTGGCTATAAACAACAACAAGACTGCTCGTATCAGTGCGAAGCCCAGAAAGTTCCGACTGCCTTTCAGGTTTATGCAGCAGTAATAACATTGAAAAATTAAATTCAATAAAACAAAATGAAAAAATTTTTATTCGAAAATTTGAAATTTTTTATGAAAATCATCACCCCACACACCATATAAAGTACAAAAGGATAGATTTCGCTGCTTGTAACAAATCAATTATGGGAAATAAGCTTTCTTGAACCAATTTGGAAAGACGGATTTCTAAGATGGATTAAATTTCCGCTTATGAGTTTTTAGCGCGAAATATATCGCACGTTAATTGTCCCAAGTTGGCCACAATGACAATCTTTAAACCCCCGCCACTTTATGATCACAGGTGAAATATTTTTTCAAGTTTAAGCTCAGGACAACAATACTTTATACTTTTTGAAATTCCGTCAAAATATTTATAAAGAAATTCTGTCAACAATGGCTAGTTAAAAAGTCGAAATTTGTCTGAAGAAAAAAACCCATCCGAGCACAAATATTCCGTTACTTTCGTATCGAAAGTCGAAATAATAAAAACTTCTATATTGAATAATTTTAACGCAAACTTTTGTTAAAAGTACTTTTAAATTGAGAATCGTTTTTCAATAATTTATGTTGAATAATGAAGACTCAGTTTGCAGTTAATTTTATTAGTAGTAGATAATACCTTCTAGCTAATTTGAGAAGAAAATTCAATGTTAACCAAATTAAATTTTTTTAATTGTTCATATAGCGAACCAAAAGTCATGATATTGAGAAAAAAGGCGGTTATAGAATTTTTCTGAAAAAGGGCGGACCAAAAATTTCTCGTTTGTTTTTAGGGTGTCCCACTCTTCAACCCCACGTTATTTAACCCCCTATGTTTGCGCACCCTACTTTATAATCCTCTAAGAAGGTAACCCCACCACAACCCCCCTTTAATACCGATAAGTTGGTTCAATTTAAGTACTTAAATATTAACAGTAGAAATCTAATTAAGTATACTAATTGAGAGTTGAGAAGCCATTCTTAATCCATTTGATGTACTTAGAATCTCAAAAAAGGTTGCATTTCGATTAGCTAAAAAAAACAATCCCTCATTCACACGCACAAAACAGAGATAACCTAGATGCTGCTAATTGAAGGCAACGAAAGACCTCTAAAAGATTTACATAAAATCATACTGCCTTGCACTTGAACCATTCGTTGAGCCATGTTTAAAGCGTCCTTCCATTTTACTCTTTCTTCCAAAGACAATTAAATATTAATACTATCAGGCCACGAGTATTATCCTAAACGTAAGAACAAAACAACTGAAAAAGTGGAACTGCTCAGAATACCAAAATCATAAATGCCGAGCAACAGCAAATACGGATGGCGAAAATTTCAGTGAAACGAGGGGTGAGCGCAATCATGACATTTCTACGGTAAAACCTGAAGCTCGACTAGTTTGAAAAATATCAAGCATCTGAGCGAGATTCTACCCCGACCGTTTTAGTCAGATTCTTAAAACAAACAGGCATCAAAGGCATGCCATTTTAAAGCACTTTTAGATGGTTTGAACGACCTTTTTTTAGCGCGCCCTTTGGATGTTTGTTGGAATGCCTGTTCCCCTCCTTGTTCATTAATTCTACCTCTGATTCGAAAGAAGGGTCTTAAACTGTACGGAGCTTAACAGTAGCATATTATGTATCTGCTACTTACTTGAAAAGAAACTGCAAACCAGAGCAGCCAAATGGCCATGCTTTAATGAGCGAAGGTTTCGACATGGAATTTTTTACAGTTTAATTACTTTTTGACTAGTTTTCGCTAAAGAAATTTGACAACATTTCGCTTAGTACAATAAACCGCAAATTTCTTTGCCAAGAGAAGTCAAGCTGTTTTCAATGGTTGAAGGTGGAATGTTTTGAAAGGATTGTGAATAATTTATACCTCGTCTGGGCCGGCGGCTGAGTGAACCCTTGTATTTGCAACAATGTCGACATAAGTCAGGGCGGGCTCTTCTCCCATGACACAGTAGGCAGTCATCTTGATGCCCTGCACGGTGACTTCGTAGTATCCATCCGCCCCTAAATTGTGCAAAGTGATCGTTGGTCGGCGTACTATTCCGACTCACTGATTACACCTACTCGTTTCTTTGACAAGTTTTGCTTAAAGATTACCCACTGTTGAACTTTCGTAACGAAGATTACAGGATATTTGAGCTCGAGGTGGTTTTTTCTCCAGCCAAAGTTTGACTTCTTAGCTAGCTATTTTTGACAGAATTTTTGAAAATCATTGAAAAAGTATTGTTGTCATGAGCTTATAATTGAAAATATAATTCACCTGTGATCATTTTTAGTAAAGTTATGGGGCTTAAACATTGCTGAAATGTTTTCTTGTTGACGAAAATGTAATGCATATTCAGAAAAATAATTTATTTCTCTCAGGTCTAATAGTTGAACCATTTCTTTACTCTCTAAAAATTACAAAAAACTTTGTGCAGAGCGATCTGGATGCACTTTCCTTCGCTGTAATGATTTTTGGTGTAATAGTTAATGACAACAAGACTGCTCGTATCAGGTCGAATGTTCCGACTGCCTGTTAAAATCTATTCAACAAAAAATGTCAAAAAAAATGAAAAATAAAAGTAGATTAGCGAGATTATTTTTTGAAAATTATCCCCCCACATGCCATATAAAGAACAGAGTGATAGATTTCGCTCCTAGTAACATATCAATTATGGCAATCAAGCTTTCTTCAACCCATTTGGAAAGATTTCTAAGACGGATTAAATTCCGCTTATGAGTTATTGGCGCGAAATATATCGCGCGTTAATTGTCCAAAATTGGCCGAAATGGCAATCTTTAAACCCCTATAACTTTACAAAAAACAATTACAGGTAAAATTTTTTTTCAAATTTAGGCTCAGGACAACAATACATTTTGAATGATGTAAAAAAACTGTGTCGAAAATGGCTAGTTAAAAAGTCGAAATTCGTCTGAAGAAAAAAAAGCCCACCCGAGCACAAATATTCCGTACAAAAATATCCGTACAAAATAATCCGTAAAAAATATTCCGAGCAAAAATATTCCGTAAAAAAACCACCCAAGCACAAATATTCGATTATCTTTTTCCAAGGAAATAAAAATTGATGAGGTTTATTTTTCTTGCTTCTTTAGAAAAACAGATGGAAAACTAATTTTTCTCGGGTATTTTCGAACTTTGTAGTCAAATTTAAATGGTTTAATTTAGAGACTTAAAAAGTTTTACAGATTAGTTAACGGACTGAAAAAAAAGTCTTGAAGTCAAGTTGAAACAAAAAACTATTCTCATGATCAGAGTTGGGGATTTGAAAGGTACCATTTCGGCATCAACACTACGCGCCTTTATCAGTTCTCTACTAATTTCATTTATTTCCTGGCATAGTTTGATATTTAATTTACAGTAAATTTATAGAACAATGAAAACTTGAAGTGCAAAACTGGATTTGTACTACTACGACAACACGAGGTTAATATCAAGAGCCTTGTATCAACTCGGAAATTTGCAAAAATTGGAACAAAAAACGTTGATTTGGACTCTTTTTTGAGAATTTTACAGCTAGCTGCAGAATTCTCAAAAATTTTACAGCGATCTTAGTGTTGTAAGTCAAATAATTAGTGTTGTAAAATTAGTTTTTTTTGGGATGATTATGACCAAATCGTTGGAATTTGGTCATAATATTTTCGTATTCGACAAGAATTTCTGAATCCTGTGTTTTATAAATTGGCTTTTTATATTTACATGCAAGTTCTGTTTTCGGGTATATTTGAAATCGTGTTAGTTTATTTTCTATATTGTGGAGGTTTCTAAATTTATTGTTATTATTTCTAATTTGACCAGGATTTACTTCTTCAAATAGAATTGATTCAATAAAAGATTTTTGGTGAAATCTAATCATTCTAGCGTGTATTTTTGCTATTTGGAAAACTGTGCAGGTTTCTTCGGGAAACCATACAATGATTGCTTGTGTTCGTGTTTTAGGATCGCAATATCCTTGGTCATTTTTGCAAGGGAGTCGAATTCCTTAGTAAAGAATTGTGTCGTCTTTTAAATCTCGTGTAGGTTGTACTTTTTCGAGTTGTATTTTCCAATCAAAAAACATTATTTCTTGATATCCTTTATTTTTTGTGTCTGCTTTGCAATTTGAGGGATTATTTATTCCTATATGTGGTATCCAATGTTTGTCATGTAGGTCGTATGTTAACCTTCCGTGTGTTCCATGGAAGGGGAATTTTGTGTCTAGTCTTATGTGACCTTGGTGTTTTTCAAGTTCTGCTTGATGTGCTAAGTCTGGGAAAACTTGAAAATTTACAAGTTTTCTATTTGTGCCTACGTTTTGTGTTAAGTTTAGTCGTTTTAGTTCATTTTTACAGTCTTGAGGGCTAAGATGTAGTAATCTTTCTTTATTACTTTGATAAAAAGATTCGTGGTCTAATCGGTTTTTATTTCCGCTTGAAACTTGTGAACAATGTACTTTCTCATCGGAAAATGTTGCGGTAAATTTGTATCCTGTTTATGTTGTTGATCGGGCTTTTGAGTATAATGTGGCTACGATATTTGTTGTTTCTATTGCTTGTGGTTCGGATTCACATTGTGAAACTTGATTTATAGCATATTTGTGTGGTGTTTTTTGTTAATTTTCTTCACAATCGTAGTGTGTTACTAATAAATCCTGCGGTCCTGTGCGGGGAGAGGGATTTTGATTTGGTTCGGAAAAAATGTGAAAAAGGAGATGGTGAAATGTAAATACTTTAAGAATATACATGTGTATGACAATCCTGAGTATGGATTATAAAAGGTTATGTATCCGATTGTCTTTTTTGTATATCTATCGTATTCATATTTTATTTCTGTTGTTATAAATGGGGGAGGTAAAGATTGAGCTGTTATATTTGGAGGGTCTAGTGCAAATGGATGTTGGACAATGTTATTCAATCTTATTGTAAGTTCGCATTTTAGTGGGAGAATGCTTTGTTGTAGTATTAGGAAATTATGTTCTTGTATATCTTTGTTAATATCGTGTCGATATTGTAATCTTTTTATTGCCCAGTTGCGTAGTCTATTACTTTCCTGATGTTGACTAAATAGCGTTGGGGGTGCTACGAATGTATTCCAATCTAATCGTAGTGGTATATTTTGAGATGATTGTTCTTGATATCGTGAATCAAGGTTGGTAGGAAAATTGAGGGGAAATGTTGGTGGTGATATTTGGCTTAAAGAAGGTGTCGAGGGAAGGGAAAGTGTTTCGGGTAATGTAGATAGTGCAGTATCGAATGAAATGTCAACTGGGTTGCTTACTAAGTTTGGTTCACCGTGAGGGTATTTGTTTGTAACCCAATATGGAGGGCGTTCTGTGGTTGTTGGTTTATTAAAAGGATTTTCTCTAATTTGTTCTGATGTAGGGGTTGAACCTAAGTAGTCTGATAGAATATTTGAAGTGCTGTGTTGTGAATCAGTTGGAGGTGTTTCTGGTAGTGTGCTACTTGAAATGTCTAAGGGACTTGATATTGGTGATTGAGGTATGTTAAATTGAACTCCAGGAGTTTGGAAATTTCTATTTCGTCTTGGAGTATAATTTGTCTACTTATTTCGAGTGTGTTTTGGTTTTGGCTTATGTGTCTTACTCTGTTTAGATCTTGTTGTAGGGTTGGGTATAGTTTATATGTTGGTTCGTATTGTGGTTCACTTAAAGGTGCTTGGCGGACAACGGGTTCTAGTGGTTCGGATAATCTTGCGTGTCTTTCTTCAAAAGTATATGGATTTTCTTGAAAATAAATGCGTGTAGACGAATGGGGATTGTGGGTACTTGTGAATGTTGATGGGGTTTCCTGGGGTGTTGTTGGTGGGGATTTGTGTGAGGGTGGTTGATTAGCAATTTTGGAAAATATCTTTGAGGGAAGTCTTTTATGATGAAAATTTATGTTTGTTCCAATAATCTTCATTGAAAAGAAATAAGAGAATAGTGGCTAATACGAATGTGATGATTGCCTTTTTTATACATTTACATATTGTCATAATGAGGGATGTTAAAAATGTGAGAAACATTACGAAGAGTAGAAAAACATCTGTTCTACTAAATAGATTACGAAACATTTAAATAGTTTTGAAATTATCGTACCTGAGGAGGGTATCAAGGATAGTGAGGAGGGATATACATTCTTCAAGGATTGAATAGAAAATTTAAAAAAGATTGCAAAATAGTATCAAAAGTATGAATAGGTTTTCTATGTTATTAGTTAAAAATATTGTAAAAAGTTTTAAAAGATTTGAAAGTTTGATGAAACGTTTGAAAATTATCTGTTTGAATTTAGTGACCGTTGTTGAGAGAAGCATTTACGAAGTGATTTGGTTTGTCGAATCGTTTTCAATTTTTTGGGGCTAAATTCGAGTGTGGTCGGATTATTTATTGATTTTTGACAAGTGGGTTGGGTTTCATCAAGTGTTGTTGAGGGATTATTTTGAGATGTTGGGGAGATCTTCGTAGTTTTGTTTTTGTTTATGGGGTAACGGGGGGTATCCAATAAATATTCGTACTTTAGGCCAAATGATCATGTGCTTTTTATCTTAAGGTTAATTTAATAATTTGGCTTGAGGGTTTTATGAGTGCTAAGTTGGGAAAATATTGTTGATCTTTGTACTGCTTGATAGGAGAGGGTTGTAATGTTGAGATAATATTTATTGTAGTTGTCAATTTATAGCGGTTTGCTTATTTTTGACCTAGAGGTCTTGAAGTTATAGTTATAGATAAGCTTCGAGGTGAATATGTGTCGGCTAATAAAGTCTTTTTGCTAGAAATAGCAAAGTGTCTTATTCGGAATGATTTCTATTGGCTGATTTTGAACTAGATCTGTTCGATTGTTTTTCAGCATGTTATTTTGAAATTGTGTTTGGTTCAAAATAATTAAAAGAAGGTGATGAAAAGGGAAATGAAAGTTATTCTTTAAATTCAACTTTCTTGAGTATTTTAGATTGTGGATTGTGGAATGAATGTTTTTTAATTTTTTCTCGGTTGACTTCTAAGCCGTGATGATTCTCTATGTTCAAA